GAGCTTTAGTTCATTTCCATGGACTGCATTTATTTCATTCCTCATTCACACAATGTGAAAAGAATAATGATGCCTTCTTGACAACATTATTGTGAGGATTAAATAAATCACTGTTTCTAATTGAGCTCTCTTTTTCTGATTTGGGGCATAAAGGTAGTGTTTTAAGGCATGTGCTTTCAGGTCACCCTCACTGCCCTGCTTCACACTCTTGTCTGGTCTCCTTCATGGCCTCTGTTTCTCAATGGTTCACTCATTTATAGTAATTCTGGGAACAATGAGGCAGAAACAGCAGGTTCCAGTCCCAGCACCATCAATTCACTTGCCATTGAGTGGATGTTCAGCTCATACTGATTGAGCACCCTGCTGTGTGCCCAACATGGGCTTAATGTCATCTAAGCCTCATAGCATCTCAAAAGGGATTTAGGAATGTCTTCGCTTTTCAGACGCAGAAGATCTAGAGCAGTGCTGTGCAAGAGACCTTTCTGCAGTGATGGAAGAAGCATTCTATAGCTATGCCATTCACTGTGGAGGCACTAGCCACATGTGGCTGTTAAGCACTTAGAATGTGGCTTCTGTGACTAAGAAACTGACTTTTACATTCTACTTATCTTTAAATAATTTCAACTTAAACAACCTCGTGTGGTTATGGCTACCGAGCTGGACAGCACAGTGCTGGAGAATGCCGACAGACCATAGAACTCCGGAAACTGACAAGAAAATAAATTAGAGAGAACACTGAAAACAACACCATTTAAAAAAAAAAAGTGTCCATTAACAAGTGAGAAACTTTGAAGAATTCCAGAGAGAAAGCAGGAAGCTGTGGATTAACAGAGCGAGAAGGCCTGGCCACAGGCAGTACAGCAGCATGTGGCGAGGCAGGAGCTGTCCTGGGGCATCCCAAACTTGGAATCAGAGGATGTGCAGAGTGGGAGGTGCCCTGGGCTATCACAAGGATGATGGGTAAGAAGATGAGTTCAGGTCTAGGAGCCTCCCTCACTCTCCAGTGTGGCTCCACACTAAGGAGCCAGAAATCCCAGGGGAACTCCCCATAGAACCAATGACCTCCAGAGGGCCTGGGAGAGCCCACACCCAGGAGACACACTGCCACTGCACACACCTGGTAGCAGGCTCCACCCGTCTTCCAGTCCCTGTGGGAAAGCTCCCTTAATCAGAGGTGGTATCCACCAAGAGGAAAACAGGAATTCTCAAGTGACATGGTAAACATATAACAAAAAATCCCAAATATAGTTGAAACACTAGCACAATGAAGGTGAAACACCAAGCTCAACACACAAAAGAACAAATATCTAAGAAACTAGAATTAATAGAGCAAACAAAGACTTCCCCTAGGTTCGTATAATGAATATCCTCAGAGAGATGCAAGATGATATGTCACTCATAAAGCAAGGATGGGCTATATGAAAAAACTAGATATCTTAAAAATTATAAATGTAATTACTTTAAAAATCAGTAGATGAGCTGAGTAGAATGTATGTGGAGGAAATGCAAATTAGTTCCATGTAAGATTGAGCTAAGAAATTCTCCCTGAATAAACATAAAAGGACAAAGAAATTCTAACTTCTAATGAGAGTTTCAGCAAGAGGAAACAGATTAAATAGAGGGAGGAATTAATGAGAGAAATAATAAAAGGAAATTTCCTAAAGCTGAAAAAAAAACGTGAGTTTTCAAGTTTAACTCATCCACTATATTTCAAGCAAAATAAAATTTAAAAGGCCCTAACTCAGAAAACTGTCATAAAATTCAAGAGAAGATCCTAAAAGTTTCTAGAGGAAACAAGACAATAATGGAGCATGAATATGACCAGCACCAGAACTGTCATGTACGTTACTAAAAATAATTGGAAAAAATGTTTCAAAGGTCTGACTCAAAATTATTTTGAATAGAGATTCCTACATTTAATCAAACTAGCATTCAAGTGAAAGCAAAATGATGACTGTTGGGGCGGAATTGTGTCCCTCCAAAACTCTTATGTTGAAGTCCTAACTCCCAGTAGCTCAGAACGGGACTGTATTTGGAGGTAGTGTTCTTAAAGAGGTAGTTAGTTAAAATGAGATCTTATGGGTGGGTCCTAATCCAATATGACTGGTGTCCTCAGAAGAGGAAATTATGACACAGACACACAGGGAAGACCACGTGCAGACAGAGGGAAAAAAGACGCATCTACGTTCAGAAGAAACCAACCCTGCCAACACCTTGGTCTTGAACTTCCAGACTCCAGAGTTGTGCGAAAAAAGTTTCTGTGGTTTAAACCAGCCCGTCTCTGCATTTGTTACATTATGTGATAATTCAGTAAGTTTACAGCAGACTCTCTCAATGAATTCATCAAGAATGATTTACCTCACACACACACGCACACACACAGAATTAAAAATGTAAGATACAAAAAGTAAACAAGAAACAGTAATTTGGAGGCTGAGGCAGGTGGATCACCTGAGGTCAGGAGTTTGAGATCAGCCTGGTCAACATGGAGAAACCCTGTTTCTACTAGAAATATAAAAATTAGCCGGGTGTGATGATGGGCACCTGCAATTCCAGCTACTCGGGAGGCTGAGGCAGGAGAATTGCTTGAACTCGGGAGACAGAGATTGCAGTGAGCCAAAATCACATCATTGCACTCCAGCCTGGGTGATAAAAGCGAAACTCAGTCTCAAAAAGAAAAAAAAAAAAGAAAAAGAAAAAAAAGAAACAGTAATTGAGTGAAGAAAGCACTAAAATTTATCCCAGGTTTAAGTAAGTACTAATGCATAATGAACAAAACTAATTACAATCCAAAACTGAAACTACACACCATATTGTGGGCAGGTGTGTAAAGGCAAGTTCTGTGTGTGCAGAGGGCAAGGCATGATGGTGAAAGTGCACCGTTCACTTCAAGCAAGGAAGCTCCTTTTTTTTTTAATGCTTAATTGTAACTTTCTTTTTCTTCTTCTTCTTAAAAAAAACAGGATACATGTGCAAAATGTGCAGGTTTGTTACATAGATGTACATACGCCATGGTGGTCTGCTGCACCTACTGACCCATTCTCTAAGTTCCTCCCCTCAGCCCCCACTCTGCAACAGACAGACCCTGGTGTATGTTGTTCCTCTCTCTGTGTTCATGTGTTCTCATTGTTCAACTCCCACTTATAAGTGAAAGCTCCTCTTTTATCTGCTTTATATGCTGATGTTCCTCTTAAGATTGTCTACAGAAAAAAGTACTCTGATGCAAACACACATACACACACACAAATTTAAAAGCTACTATTGGTTGGCCAGGTACAATGGCTCAAGCCTGTAGTCTCAGCACTTTGGGAGGTCAAGGTGGGCAGATCAGTTGAGCCCAAAGTTCAAGACCAGCCTGGGCAAAATGGTGAAACCACATCTCTACAAAAAAATTAGCCAGGAGTGGTGGCATGTGCCTATAGTCTCAGCTACTCAGGAGGCTGAGATGTGAGGATTGCTTGAGCCCAGGAGGCTGAGGCTGCAGTGAGCTGTGATCATGCCACTGCACTCCAGCTTAGGTGGCAGAACAAGATCCTTTCTCTAAATAAACAAGCAAATAAATAAAAGTGACAATCCTAGATGATTTCTAAAGTCCTTTCTAGCTTTCAACATTCTAAGATCCTCATGATTGCCTCATTTCTACGATGAAGATGCCATTCAGTGAAAACACAGATCAAGGATATCTCATAGGAGACTATGCCATGGCTGTCTTTGTGGCATTGCCACAATCTCCTTGACAGTGAAATATTTCATCATCCAACCAATTGCTTTGTGGGCAGGTAACCGAAGAGGTAGTATCTGATGTGAGGGCTGGATCATAAACCTCCTGGTTGGGTTCCACATGTACCTTACCTCAACATCCGGGTCAACATGAGTGGAAGTTTCTTGGTGCCTCCGTTTTCTCATCTATAACATGAAGAATTGGTCTTCACATCTCTAAACCTCTTGTCAGCTTTTAAATGCTGTAATTTATATCAGTCCATGGTGCTTGATCAAATCTAAATTGTGTGAATTCCAGGTAAAGAGAAGTTAGACCTCCAAAGAAAATATGAATCTTGGCGAGGCGTGGTGGTTCATGTCTGTAATCCCAGAACTTTGGGAAGTCAAGGTAGGTAGATCACCTGAGATCAGGAGTTCCAGACCAGCCTGACCAATATGGGGAAACCCCGTCTCTACTAAAAATACAAAAATTCGCCAGAAGTAGTGGCAGGTGCCCGTAGTCCCAGCTACTCAGGAGGCTG